AGTTTGAGCTCTATATCTTTGGCTGAATATATCTCTAGTATCGGTGAGTTTGGAATAATTCAGTAAAATGGATTAGTTCCTATCAGACTATGTGTTAGCCTATGGCTCCAGTCAGCAGTATAAGGATGGATGGTGATATAAGGGAGGCAGCATATTGCATTATTTTGATATATTGGAAAAATGATATTGGTGTATTATTGAATCAAAAAATGAAATTGACTTGAATGTATCAAATTCGTAATTTATATATATATACATATATATAAATAGATTTTTAGGTTTATCATATATGGTTTACTTGTATATGTTAGAATTTCAGTAGTTACTGAGATGTTTGATCTCACCCCCTATATTGACAATTTTTAGGCGAAGGATCTAGTAGGAATCAAGGAAAGGCACCAATGAAGTGAGCCGTAAAGGCTTTTGTGTTTCTCAAGCACATGCTATATTATATTTTTATTTGCTATGACTATAAGACTTTAATAGTTTATTTTGTTGTTATGTTAGAAATATTTTGAAATTATGACTTATTTGAAGTATTAGAAATATGTATGGACTTTTAAAATAAATATTTTGTTACGTATATTAATATAATTATGTGAGGTGTTACATAATGCTATTGCTTCTCTCGTATCTTGCATGGTTATGTCTTGATTTTGAGTTGATTTTGGGTTGCAATGAACTAATCGTATTGATCATTATCAAATTGCATATTAGAAGAGCTTAACAATGTTTTCGTTAATGAAGTTCATTGATTTAAACATTGGAATCAATTGGTGATTGAGGTTGTTAGTCTAGAAAACCTAATGATTTTGTGGAATTCCCAATATCTCAAGTAAAATATAATTGCCATTAAAACCATTTTCAAAAGGCTTCCTATCATCCATTTCCATTCCATCAAAACCTTATCCAAAAATACCAAAAATACAGTAGCTTAGATTTATTTTCATTGCATATACTTTGGTCACAATTCAATCTAAATCTTTAAAACCCAAACCCCTTTTCAATTACATGTTTTCATTGTATTTAGCTAGCTTAGACTATCAATAAAGACTTTCAAAAGTAAAACAATCCGAGTTTTGTACTATATTACATGCTTGGATTTATTATTATATTTGATCCCAAGGCATAACGACATGGTTGAATCACTCCCGTGCCAATTGCTTTGCTATTTCACTGCAACTTTCTCTGAAGGAATAATAATTACTCCATTACTTCCCTGCAAGCTTTCACCCAGTGATGGTAGGGTCAGAGTTTTAGTTGTTAGAGACAGTAGGGTCAGTTGTGTTTGATAGCGTGTTAAAGTTTTGATTAATATGTGTCACTTTTTGGACCAAAACAGTCTCTGTGTTTAGAGCTCAAGTCTCCAAAAAATTTGCATGGTTGGCTTCCATAAAGCGGTGCATATCCTCATTGGAAAGGTTGTGAATGGATGGAAGAATAAATGACCAGTCATGTACTATTGAGAGCTGCAGCAAGAAGATGGCTGATGAAGTTGTTGCGGGTTTCGCCTCTAAAACTAACGAACATATCGTACTTTCTCGGAGCATTCGGCCTAGAACCAGAGCTTGAGGAAGCAGAAACCATTGCCGTTTGTTTCAAAGTGCAGAAAGAACAGTTTACACACATTCTCAGGAAAAAGTGATGAGATGATGGGTTATAGCAGCAAAAGACTTGACTTACCTTTAATTCTTCAGACCCAAATGAACATCACTTGTGACATGACTTTTAATATATGAAATTGGATGGATGGAACAGAAAGTGAACATGGCCAGCTGTTAAGAAAAAGATAAAATTATTAGTCAATTGATATGAAGTCAAAAGTCACTTTTTGTTATGGAAAAACCATAAAGTCACTCTGACAAAGGAAAACTCGCGTACGTGAAGGGCTGGCACTCTGACAGCTTCCCGGAGGGGATGGTTTTGCATCTAACCATTTGATGAGCAAAAGTGGGTGCTATAATTATTGAATTATTAAAGTTTTATATTTAAAATCAAAAAAAACTTTTCAACTAGTTTCGGATTAGAATGATTATTTCTTAGAAAAATGAATGTATTTGAGGAACTGTATCACTGTTTTGTAAGAATGGATCCCTTTTTAACAACCACAAATCTAAATATCCCATACAAGCTTTTATCTGTAACTCTTTAACAATCGTAAACATTATTGCTTGTAAGAGTTTTATATATTATATATAAAAATAAATTTAAAAATAATCCTTGACATGATGGCTTTTGTTTTATGAGGGAACCGTTGGCAAGTTGCTGTGAAACTTCACGTAAGTTTCACGAACTACGTAAATTGATAACTTTTCTGTTAAGAAAATAAAAAAAACTGTTTTTGAAGAACTAGTATGAGTTCCTACTCCCGATTTGAGAGCTTTGTTAATAAGTGATTTGTAAAAAATTTTATAAACGCTCTTTAAATTTAGAAGCACGTCCTTGTTGTAATAAGCTCCTGAAACCTGAATGGCGATTCCAAAAAGAATATCAGCAAGATTAAAGAATAAGGAGAATGCCTCGCTTTCCGATTTTATTTCAATAATAAATAGTTATTTGTTAGTTGTTACTTGTTGCCCCCTCTAATCTCAAATATAAATTCTAGTTAATTAATTTACACAAATTATTAATTAAGTTAGTAATTTGTTATTATATAAAAATTATGGACCGCTTTTTCTAAAATTATGTGAGAGACAGAGAGAAAAACTTGTGAAATTAATGAAAATAATACTGAAAAATACTTGGCGGTAAAATTTACTATGTGATTTTAGCAATTGATATATTATATTTGGCGCTAAAAGGGTAATCTAGCTCTTTCATGCCCGCAGCCAAAAGAACCAGACTAGGGGGTGTTTGGCAAAACCAAAACCTAAGTTTCAGAAGCACTTTTCCGCAAAACGAGATAACCTCCTTCACATATTTACTTCGTAATCCGTAAAAGCACTTCTGAAACCATTGTTTGGTTTCTATTCAAACACCCCTCGGTAACGTCACGAAAATAAAAGAAGGTATTAAAAAACTTAAATAAAATAATATCTTGGGCTGGGTTGTAAGTTTGGCTTGCCATTCTACTATTATTTTTATTTTAAATATAAAAGTTAGATAATTAATTTATAAATATTAAAAAAATTATTTGCAGATTTCATCTAACCAATAATTTGCAATACAAATTATCATAGTTGACGAAAATTCTTTTTACATGCACAGCCAAATAAGGATAATTAATCTAGAGAAGAATTATAAATTTAAAAAATAAAGTAAATTGATGTCTTATATTTAGAATTCAAGGTATATTTAAAGTCAGAGTAATTATTTCCTAGATGAATGTATTTGAGGAACATTTACTGTTTTGTAAGAATAATTATTTTAATGACCATAAGTCTAAATATCCCATATAAGTGTTAATCTGAAGCTGTTTAACATTTGTAAACATTATTGCTTGCAAGAGTTTTTATAGTTTTCAATACAAATTATTAAAGGAGTATTTAGGTAAATCAAACACATATTTTTTAAAATAATTAAATTGGCTAATTTTATTAATTTCTTAAATTAGTTACATAACTCCAATATTTAAAATGGGAGGGATTATATGTTATTTTTTTGGGGCATAGAATTATGACGTTAAGTCTTTGGGAGAATTACATTTGCATGTGACAGGTTTTACGTAACTGAGGTCCAACAAAATGTGTGGCCTACGCTGAAAAGATGACGTTGATGCTTTCATATACCCAATGCTTTGCTATTTCACTGCAACTTTTGGAGGAATAATATGCTAATTACTCTGTTACTTCCCTGCAAATTTATAATTTCCTGCCAAATTATTTTTATTATCTACATATTAAGAGATTTGATAGTTTCACAAATTAGTTGGAGGTAGTATTATACAAAAGAAAAATACTTAGGTCTAGTTGCTTATGTTCATCATGTCAAGTTTTCTAATCATATATGACCATATATTTTATATTTTTCCATATACATTTATAATTAAATGATATTAAATACTAATAATTAAAAAATAAAACAAATGGTTATATGTGATTTAAAAAAAACATAATATTATTATATAAGTAACTTGACCTTTATTTAGAACTAAGTCTTACGGTAGGAATTGCATGCATGGGCCTCCATATTGAACTGGGCCACATCCTCAACCCGAAGTGTCGTGCGTAGAAGGGAGAATAAATGATCCTTGAAAATTCCTCTCAGTTTTTTTTTGGTCAAAAAATTCCTCAGTTTGGATGTGAAAAATATAGAGAGAAGAATACTAAAAAAGAAAACTTCAAAAAATAATAAATCTTTTTAGGATTCCAAAAATTTTTCCTTCATACTATTTTCTCCCATTACTTTTCCTTCTATTTTTTCTGCCATTCAAACCTAGCCTTTATGTTATCTTCTTTAAATGCTATGCATTGCATGTTTAAAAACTCCATTTTTTATGCCTGAAGTATATTCCGATGCTGCATGAACCGCAACAAATTGGAATGTGAGAGATCATTTTGCCAAACCGAAATATTGCAATAGCCCCACCAACACTAACTGATCATTTTTTTCCCCATGTTATGGCACGTTTCGTTCATACTTTGTTTTCAGATCTTAACTTTGTTCTCATCTACAAATATCAATATGCCAATCAGAATCAGTTCAATGATATTCAATAACTTTCATCAAAAACTCACTTTGAAGGAGCCATAGCCTATGCTCTGTTTTTCTTCACCCTGTTTACCTGCGAAAATTTTCATTGATATGTTGTTTATAAGATTATCATTTCCCTGGAATGGAATCACTGACCTGATGGAAAAAAAAAACCTTAAAATTCAACCATGAGTGCAATAATTATTACAAAAAAAGGGCATCAAATAGTTTTTTTTTTTTTCCTGGAACCTATATAGGTGACAATCGTTAGCATGTAATAATTGTCAAAGCAGTTAGGAGAATTCAAAATATCATGGTCAAGTATGAATACTTGCTCTTAATTTGCTAATTTAAGAAGGAGATAATACCTATTCAATCATTATGGCCTTGAGTTTTCGGGAATTCAAGTTGAACTCCGCCGATTTCCCTTGTTGATCAACATTGTAATATTCTGAGGCATATATGGGGTAGACTCCACACTCTTCCATGGGAATTAAATTACCAACACATGCAAGACGGAATTGGAACAAAAGATTTTGGTCATAAGTGGTGGTTTCATGATTTCTTTTGTTCCCTTCAATTTTCTCGAGTATCAATTCTGATAGCTCTGGATTGGAAACCAGCGAAACATTTCCAGGACTGAAATACTTGCCCGGTGGAAGTAGTTGAAATTCAGTCATTTTCGTCATTTCATCCAATTTAAAGCCGAAGAAAAGTTCAACGTCCGGTAGGGAGACATCAGGAACGACGACGCAAAAAACAAAACCCGCTAAATTATGAGAAGCTGGAGGTAGTTCGACGATGCGCGAATCATTTTGGGTCCTATTATTCCCAAACCACTTCGGAACCTTCCTCCCCGGGTAACAAACTGTAACAACATTCTTCTCGTGAACTGCTTTCTCTAACAACAACATGGCCTGTTCTTCAATGGCGCCCAGATCTAAGTTCACACAGTTGATGAATGAAAATAACTTTTCACCATAATTCTCAGATGTGCTTGAAATCGTTGAAGCAGACACCGTCTCCGGCGATTTGCAGTCCGTGGCAATCAACTTCCTAAGGGATGCAGGAAGTTTCGGTAAACCCCGCAGCCTGCTGCAGCCTTCTATAGAGAGGTATTGTAGCTCAGAAAGATGCCGAATATTGTCGGGGAGTTCAATTAGGTGGGGCCACTTCTGCAAAGACAGCACTTCTAAAGATGGCAATGCATAAAATAGAACTGCCAGCTCCGCGTCTCCCTCTCTCTGCCTGAAATTTTGAATACGAAGCTCCACGAGTTTAAAATAACAAAGCAGGGTCCGTGGAAGATGCCAAAGACTTGAAGCATTGAGCCGGAGACAATTGAGATTGCTAAGGTGATGAACAAAGGAAAGGTCGAACGAGAGTGCTGTGCAATCAGTGGCATCTATTAATTTAAGGGAGCGGGGAAGCTCTGGCAAATATTGAAGATTCCAACAACCAGTTAAATGAAGCTCTTGCAGACTCAAGAGGTGTCTGATGTTATCTGGGAGTTCAGTTAATTTGTGGCACTCCTTGAGAGTTAGTGATTGGAGACTGCGTAAGCCATCAAATAGCACACGTAGGTCGACATTGCCAATCATCTGCCCGGAAACACGGAGTACCTCCAGAGATGTAAGGCAACTTAACTCTATATTCTTCAATTTTGTATGACCGAGATTGAGTCTTCTGAGCTTTGAACAACGCCCAATTGATGGGCTCAATTCTTCTATCCCAGTTCCACTTAAATCTAAGGATGTTAGCTCTGATGATGACATTGAAAACTCCTTAAGACAGAGGCAGCTACTTATATTGACTTCTTTGAGAGATTTTAGATGAACCGTACTTTGGAGACTCTCAAGTCTATGGCAGTCGCTTACATCCAAATAAATGAGACTGTGCAGGGATAGGAGAGATGGATGCACTTGAGGCAAACACCAACAAGATCTTAGGTTACGTTTGGTAGAAAGCATTGAAAATGAGGGATTGGGATTGGGATTACAATTGAAAAAATCTATTAAGAGAGTGTTTAGTATAAGAGATTGTTTGATATATGGGATTAGTTAAAGCCATGTATGTGGGATTAGAGAATACCATGGGGGAAGTGGTATTCTCCAATCCCACCTTTATGGGCATACCTAATCCCATATAACAAACAATTATTCATACTAAGTACTATGTTAATGATTTTTTCAATTGCAATCCCAATCCCAATCCCTCATTTTCAATGCTTCGTACCAAACGGGACCTTAGATCTACGCTTTCAAGACGATGAGCCTTGGAAAAATCGGGTAACTTCATCAGCATAAAACAACCACGAAGTTTTACTCTTCTTAAATTCGCTAAATCCTGGAAACCATTAGGAAATACCAAAAAACAAATGAATAGAGGCATTACATCGGAAATCAAAGATCTCAAATATTGATTAATATTTAAAACTAAAAATGATATATAATACCTGTACTCCGTCCCAAAGTGTTGCAACGCAGCTGTCTTCCAAGTTAAGTTCAAGAAGGAGCTCGGCACAAAATTTTTTTGGCAAGGACGACCACGGGTATCCAACCCAGTGGAAGTACCTTATTTTGGCAGAAATTGACTCAAGACCTGCTGGGCTAGACCAGGAAAAGGGCTCAAACTGATCAAGATGATTAAATTTGAGAAATTTTATTCTCGACATTTTATTAAAGGTCTTCGCAGTCAAATCCAAAGTTCTATTGATCTCATTCATATTGAACATTATACCTTCAACCTCTTTTTCTCCCTGAAAATTACAAGGTTTAGACTTTAGAGAAATAGTAAGAAAAATAAAGAACATTTTCTGGCATTGGTGACAAATAACGTTTTCTTAGAGTGAGAGAGGAGAAGATCATCGTATTCTTACCTCACAGTTTTTCAATACATCATATATTTCATGGGGATCCCATAATCTACTCCTCTTTCCAGGTTCATTGACATTCTCTTCACGAACAATTTGCAGACCCATTTCCTGTATTAAGTCATGCATCTCAACCTTCCCATTGTTCTTGACTATTAAAGCCTTATCCATAAGGATTGGTATGCCAACAGTTGGATGGAATCCATAGCTCTCTAATAGCTCTTCTACAAATCCTTCACTTTCACCTTTTAAAAAACATGCAATGTCTAGAAAAATTTTCTTCTCTTCATCAGCTAACTTATCATAACTCAATCTTAACACCTCTTGAATTTTGTCATTTGGAGACCCTCCTTGTAGTTTTCTCAACAAACCATCCCATAAACTTTTATTTTCACAGTGAACATATGAACCCAAAACTTTTAAAGCCAAGGGATTGTGTCGGGTATAACGTATAAATCCTTCTATGAGCTGTTCATATTCGTGTCTTGGATGGTCTGATCCAAAGGCCTTGCGGATGAAAAGTTGACGCGAATTTTGATAACTCAGTCCCTTGGCCTCATGTATTTCATAACCTTCTCCTCGAAGCAATTTCCTATTTCTTGTTGTTGTAATAACTTTACTACCTTCTCCTAAGAAATTGCATATGTTATCCTGCAAACCCTCTAATTGGTCAGAACGATCAACATCATCAAGCACAACTAAAGCTATTTTCTTACCAAGCCTTCTGGCAACAAAGGCATTTCTTAAACCATTTGATGGGTTACGTGACATATCTTGCCCTAGCAGCTCCGAGACAAGATAGCTACAAACACTTTCCAATCCATTTTTTTCTGTTTTTTCCCTAATGTTTTCCAAGAAGCAGCAAGAGTCATACTGAGAAGATAATTTGGCAAATATAGCATTTGCCATTGTGGTCTTACCCACACCGCCCATCCCCCAAATTCCAACTCTGTGAGATTTTCCCAGTAACTCTTCAATGGGTTTGATCATTTCATCCATTCCAATCACATCTTTTAATGTTTGTCGACAATTATGTATTTGTTCCAGTTTTGTGTTGACATCAGTGACAATTTCTTGAATTAAATTGGATTCATCCCTGTCAAACAAAGCAAAAAAACAAATAAACAGAGTAAACCATCAATTTTACACAGCAAGCTGCCACATTAGGTGGGATACCCGGGCAATACTTACATTTTGGATGAATCACTTTGATCGAGGAATACTTACGTGAAGTCTTGGCAGTGCCTGCCGCTTAAAGAGCCAGCTTTAGAAAGAGCTGCTTTCCACCTGTTCACTCTTTCTGGATCATGCATGAAATCTTTCTCATGTTGTTCAAATGCCTTCTCATGAGCTCCAGTCTGATTTCGAATATGTGAGGGGTCAACTTTGTAGAAGATGGGTAAAACAAACTGGCCCTCATCCTTTCTGCACCGCATGATTTGGGCGAGTTCATCCAGGCACCATCTTGAGGAAGCGTAGTCTTTTGAGAAGACTATGATAGATACACTGGAATCCTTGATTGTGTGGATGAGTGATGGCGTGATTTCATCACCTTTCTCTATCTGCTTATCGTCACGAAAGGACAAAACAAAGTCTCGGTTGAGGGCAGCATGAAGATGGCTGGTGAAGTTGTTGCGGGTTTCGCCTCTAAAACTTACAAACACATCATACTTTCTTGGAGCATTCAGCCTAGAGCCAGAGCTTGAGGAAGCAGAAACCATTGCAGTTTGTTTCAAGGTGCGGGAAGAACAGTTTACACACTCTTTCTGCTGCCGCTTCAATAGACTTGACTCAGTCTTTAAGTCTTCTGAGCTAAATGACACGGCAAGTCGGCAATTGATACTCCCCCCCAATGATACTTTTTAGTCTTTTCGCGTTGGAATACAATGCCGATCCCCCCCCCCAAAAAAAAAATCTTACCTTCGTTTCTGGCCCTGGATAATTTGGACGTGTGAATAAAGTAGATGCATTTTATAGATAATAATTTGAGCAGGATCCTGATGAAAACACCACTATTTTAACACAGTTTGATTGATACAGCATTATTTATGACTTACAAATAGTAATGCTTATGAAGTCTAAGTCTTTGGGGAAATTGCAAAAGGTTGTGCGTAATTAAGGTCCAACAAAATGTGTGGCCTACCTTTAAAAGTTGACATTGATGCTTCACGCCAATTGCTCTGTTACTTCTCTGCAATTTCCTGTCTGATTAACATGGCCGGGTGGAATAATAATACTCCTTTCATTTTGATTCATAATTCTTTTTCAAAAATTACAGAAGTGTCCAATTTTATCATTATTTAAAATCATTTGATGTAACTTTTTAAAAAAATGAATTAACATTAACAAAATATAATATAAAGCATATTCAAAAACTTTAATGTAAAACTCACTTTGAAGGAGTAAGAGCTCACACTCTGTTTTCTTTGCTTTGTAAGAGCTCACTCTCTGTTTTCTTTGCTTTGTTTTCATCCACAGACACCAACGTGTTCACCCGTCAAAAGCAAACTTATCTTGTTCACTTGCCAAAATTTTCACTGACATGGAGTTTATAAAATCATCATTTCCCCTGCAATGGACTTACTCAGCTGATGAAAAAGAAAAAGAAAATCCAAAGTTCACTTCCTTATGACAAATAGAAACACCGACCGATCATCTACAAGAATGTTTACCACATCCGCTTAGAGTTTAAAAAAATGATACTGTCTCTTGTTTTAAATATAAAAGATAGATAATTAATTTTAAAATATTAAGAAAATTAGTTAAGTTTGTGTTGACTTTTGTAAACTATTCTATTTAATCATATATTGGAACTATCCTTAATGAAAATCCTTTATCATCAATAGAAATATTTTGGAGAAAAACTATAAACTTGAAAAACAAAGTGGATTGAGATTTTAAATTTAAGATCAAACAAAATAGATATAATAATTTAATGATGATTTTCAGTAATATTTTATAGAAAAGATTTTAGAAAAAGAACTCTAAAATTATTAGAGTTTTAATTTTAATTGTTAGAGATCGTAGGGTCAATTGTGTTTGAAAGCGTGTTAAAGTTCTGATTAATATGTATTACTTTTTGGACCAAAACAATATTTGTTATTTAAAACTCAAGTCTTTGCCAGAATTGGATGGTTAGCTTCCATATTAAAGTGGTGCATGTCCTCATTGGAAAAAGGTGTAAATGGCGGGAAGAATAAATGACCCGTCATTTACGGTTAATTTGTGAAATTGGATGGATGGAATAGAAAGTAAATATGGCCAGCTTTTAAGAACAAAAGATAAAATTATTAGTCAATTGATATGAAGTCAAAAGTCACTCTTTGTTATGGAAAAACCATAAAGTCACTTTGATAAAGGAACACTTGCATACGTGAAGGGCTGGCGCTCCGGCAGCTTCCGGGAAAGGAAGGTTTTGCATCTGGCCATTTGATGAGTGAAAGTGGGTGCTATAATTTAGTGAATTACTATAGCAACTTGGTGATTTCTGATTTAAATATGTTTCATTTTTTAAATCTCCACGGCTAATTGAGTGCTAATTATTTTTGTCGGCCACAGAAGATAATGTGTGAGTAGGAGGCGCAAATGATGGGTAGGTTACACATTTAAAATGCATTATTTGATGCTCCTCCTTTAGTGGTTATTTCATCGGGCTTTTCTCACTGCAAACGAATAGCAGTTGCTTTAACATAAACGTTCATTTAGCTTAATAAACCCCCCCCCCCAAAAAAAAGTCAATCCAAACACAAATAACATGGGTCTTCCATGATTTTCCATTAAAAAGCCACTCAATTGGGATGGCTGAAAATTCATTCCAAACACAACTTAGACCCCCCCTGCGCGGGGATACAAGCAACTTCAATTTTATTTACATAACAAATGACCAAAACTCCATTTTGCTGACCATAAACTTAAAAAAACTAAAACAAGTAATGAAATACTAACATACTCATGTGATATCCATTATTACTACTACTACAGATATAGTCATTAATAGGCAAATAAATTATTTATTCTTTAAAAAATTTTACAGGACTAAAATCTTGGAATAGATATCTTTCTTGTAAATTGCATAATTTTCAACACTTAATTGAAATTTTAAGTTGCAATTTTGGGTGAGGTTGTACTTTTGAGCAGGCATATATACTACCTTGATCTTAAATATAAAAATTAGATAGCTAATTTTTAAATATTAAAAACTTCTTTAAGTTAGTTGTTTATAGAAAAAAAAATGTATGTTATTTTTCCTCGAATATCTCATCTAATTAGTTATATATGCATTATATAATTAATTTGGAGAAGAATTATACCGAAAAAATATAGATTAAGGTGTCATATTTAAAATCAAAATAAATTTCTCAACTAGTTTCAGATTAGAGTGATTATTTCTTAGAAAGATGACTGTGTTTGAGGAACTATATCACTGTTTTGTAAGAATGGATCTTTTTTCTAATAACCACAAATCTAATTATCCCATATAAACTTTAATCTGAACTGTTTAATATTTGTAAACATTATTGCTTGTAATTAGAGTTTTAATAGTACTCAAAACCTAACTCATACAAACTTTTATGTATAAAAAACAAAATCATAACAAATTCAAGCGATCAATATTACGCAACTTACAGATTTGGAATCACCATTCAGGTTTCGGTTCCCCCACCCCCAAACAAAAACACACGCTGGCAAGGATTAAAGAATAAGGAGAATGCTTCAATTTCTGATTTTGTTTCAATTACAAATAGGTATTTGTTAGTTGTTACTTGTTACCCCTCTAATCTTGAATGTAAATTCTTATTAATTAATTTACACAAATCATTAATTAAGTTAGTAATTTGTCATTATATAAAAATTATGGATCACTTTTTCTACAAATTATGTGAGAGATAGAGAGGAAAACATGTGAAATTAATGAAAATAATACTGAAAAATACTCGGGGATAAAGTTTTATTACGTAATTTTGGCAACTGCTATATTACACTTGGCGCTAAAAAGGTAATCTACTTCTTTCATGGCCACAGCCATAAAGAACAACACTAGTTCTTCCATGTAAAGTCACGAAAATAAAAAGCAGCATGGCTTGGCATTTTCCTATTATTTCCCTTTTAAATATAAAATTTAGATAGTTAATTTGTAAGTATTAAGAATTAAATAAATCATTTGTAAAAGCATATATGTTAGTTTTTCAAAAGTATTTCACCTAATCAATCATTTAATTACAATAAACTATCATAATTGACGAAAATTCTTTTTACATGCACAACCAAATAAGGATAATTAATTTGGGAAAAAAATTATAAATTTAGGAACAAAAGCAAATTAATGTCTTGTATTTGGAATTCAAAGTAAACCTATCAATTAGCTCTTATATTTAAAATCAGAATAATTATTTTCTAGATAAACGTATTTGAGGAACATTTACTGTTTTGTAAGAATGATTTTTTTTAATAACCATAAATCTAAATATCCGATATAAGTCTCAATCTGAAACGGTTTTACATTTGTAAACATCACTGCTTGCAAGTGCTTTTATAGTATATATAAATTTTTTTTTTTTGGAAAAAAAATCCTTCACATGATGGCTTTTGTCTTATGAGGGAACCGTTGGCAAATTGCTCTGAAACTTCATGCAAGTTTCATGGACTATTTGATGAACAAAAATGTAAATTTCACTTACCAAGAAACTGTTGGTTGAAATGATAAGTGGCTTCATCTCCATAAAGAAAAGAAAAAAAGAACACAAATTCGTATCTTAGGAAGCACATTTATTGGGAGGACTTTAACTTAAATACTCTCAAGCTAACAGAAATTAGTCTCAAGCCTAAAAGGACTTGAAGATACTCTTGAGTTTAAAAAAAAAATGCAAGTTCTACTTTCATTAAAAAAAAAAGAACACAAATTCGTATCTTGGGAAGCACATTTATTGGGAGGACTTTAACTTAAATACTCTCAAGCTATCAGAAATTAGTCTCAAGCCTAAAAGGACTTGAAGATATTCTTGAGTTTAAAAAAAAAAATGCAAGTTCTACTTTCATTAATTGAAAAAAAAAAATCAAAAGTCACTTTGATAAAGGAAAACTTATGTTGAAGGGCTAGCAGCTTCCAGGAAGGGAAGATTTTGCGTCTAACCATTTGATTAGGGAAAGTGGGTGTTATAATTTAATGAATTACAAAAGCGACTTAGTGATGGTTGATTTAAATATGGTTTTCATTTTTAAATCATCACGGCCAACTGAGTGCTTGTTTTTGTCGGCCGCAGAGAAGATGAAATGATGGGTAGGTTAAAATTTAAAATGCATTTTGATGCTCCTTTAACGATTCTTCATGTTTATTGGAAGCCGACGAAGATGAAGAAGCTGCAACAACCATGGTGCTATTCAAGGTTTTCTTTTTTGCAGTAAGGATGGAGTATGGCAATGAACAGGCTTCTTTCGAGCCAAATATAAGGCTCAGTTAATTACCACAATTACCATATACTATTTCGGTTCCTTAGTATAATTTCAGCCCCAGCTAACTAATTTCAAAAGATTAAAAAAGTTAAATGAATTGCTTTAAAGTGTTATATTTATAGTGTTTTTCCAGACTAATGTGTCGGGTTATAAACTAATATATACAGTCTGATGGGATATACAAGTATTTTTTTAGAGAAATCATATAACATATACTATAATTAAATACTAATATTTTAACTTTCTTAATTTTCTCAAATTAATCAATTGA